GCTATACTCACTGTTCTGAAACTTGCTTTGCCTTAAAGATTACATGCAACGTATATCTCCACGTCACTACATACAGACACTGTATTTGTTTTCATGGCCACACTGTATTCTAAAATATGATATACTATGCTTCAACCACTGTGAAACATGGATTTCATCTCCAATTCCTTGGTGTCACATATATTGCAGTGATCACCGTGCAGTCCTGTGCGGGCATTTCTGTGCGGTGAGTGCTTACAAGTGGGGTGCTGAGCCGAGCGACTAACACACCTACAATCGGCCCATCTAGAACGCTGGATCGCTTTACGCTCCCCACATGCTGGCCAACACTGGATAGAATTAGTCCAAATCTTGCCAGTCCAACTGGTGAAAAATAGTACCTAATTAATTGCTCTGAATTGTATTTCCCTGATTAAAAGTGCAGTTGACATCCTTACTAGCCATTTGGTTTTTTCCCCACAAACTGCCTACCTTTGCAGAGTCTTTTCCTGACTGCTTGTGTTTTTCTCAGTGACTCGGTGCAGCTCTTTAAGAATTTAACCCAGTTTGTTATGCGTTATTCCCCCTCAGTGTCAAGTGACCTCTAAACGTCGCTTTTGTTTATTCCCTAGTGAGAAATGTTTAATTCTTATGTCAAATCTGTCAACCTTTTCCTATGCAGTTTCCCATTTTTCCCAGTCTAATATTATAAAAGTACCTTTATTCTTTTGTAGTTTTAGGACATTGCATTTTTGTTTTTTTATGTTTAAATCTTTACTTTATACATGGCATGAGGTGAGGGTCTGGCTTTATTATTTTCTAGATATATAACCCATTTTCCTCATATTTACTAATATTTATTAATGGTCCAGCCCCTTCGCTACTTATCTGTGATTTCATATGCCCCTTTCTAAACTATTTCGCATTATTGGTCTCCTGCCAGTCCCCCATTTTTAATTCTTTCACTCTATTCAGCATTTTGACATGGGCAGAACAGTCCACGCCAGCCACCCCAACTGTTCTTTTTCAAAACTGTCTTGACTATTCTAACACATTCTTTTAATCAAATTTCATTACAATTCCATTTTGGATTTAGAAGAGAATTATACTGAATTCACAGATTATTTGGGGAGGAAATAATATTACAATATTGAGCCTTCCTACCCAGGAACGTGGGATTTTTCCCCCCATTTATTTAGGTCTTCTTTGGTAAGTTTTACAGTTTTCTTTAGATATGTCTCACATATTTATTTCCAGGGGAGCTGCATCCCTACACGTGGTATGAGTTAGAGAGCAATCTGCAAACTCGAAACAATTACTGCAAAAAGCATAGAACACAGGGCGTATACCACGTGGACCGTGGAGGCTCTGAGGGCGGGAAACGTGGCTCCAGAGCCTGGCTCTGCTACTACAGAGTTGGGCACCTCTGGACAGCTATCTAACTCTCTAATGCTCATTTTTTCTCAGCCGTCAAATAGCTATAGAAGGACTGTTTCGAACTGAGCTGTACAATGTTGTAGTCACTAGCCACATGTGGCTATTTGAATTTAAATTAATTAAAATAAAACAAAATTAAAAATTCAGTTCTTCAGTTGCACTAGCCACATTTCAAATGCTCAATAGCCACGGATGGTTAGTGGCTACTGTAGGGGACAGTGCAGATAGAGAACATTTCCATCATGATGGAAAGTTCTATTGGATAGTGCTGATTTAGAGGATTGAATGATAAAAAGTATGCAAAATGCTTAGCATAGATCTGGGTAGGCAGCGAGTGCTCAACAAACACTAGCTGAGATTATTAATAACAAACCCACGTGACACGTTAATAACAAACACATTAATAACAAACCCACGTTTAGCATTTGGCTAAACATAAGCTGAGCAAGAGTAAGACCCTGTCTCTATTATAAATAGAAAGAAATTAATTGGCCAACTAATAGATATAGAAAAAATTAGCCGGACATGGTGGCGCATGTCTGTAGTCCCAGCCACTCGGGAGGCTGAGGCAGGAGGATTGCTTGAGCCCAGGAGTCTGAGGTTGCTGTGAGCTAGGCTGATGTCACAGCACTCACTCTAGCCTGGGCAACAAAGCGAGACTCTGTCTCAAAAAAAAAAAAGAGTGTGGTTTCTGTAGTCAGACAACTTACTCAGTTTGAATGAGTTCAATGAGGGATCCCTCTACTCAGTCATTGGGTGACCTTGGGCAAGTTACTTAACCTCTCAAAACTCAGTTTCCTCATCTGTAAATGGCTTTGTACCTCCCCTATAGGTTGTCATGAGAGTTCAGATAATGCTTATACCACACTTATCGAAGTACATGATACTTCATAAACACTTAATAAATGTTAGCAGCTATGATGATGATGATGATGATGATGATGATGACACATCTTACAAACAATTCAATCATCACAGCAACCCCATAAAGTAGGTCACAAAACTAGTAAGTGGCAAAGCCAGACTTTTAAACTCAGGTCTTTTCGTCAAACCAGGGTTCAAGATCCCTTAATTAATAATATACATAAAACATTAGACTCGGTTTAAATCCCCTCCTAATATGTTTTAGGGGAACCCAAGAGAGAAAAATACAGTCCTCTCTCCTTTGAATCATGAGAACTAAAAAGCCCACATTAGGTATGAGCTCAGTGTCGTCTGCAGTTCTGCTTCTTGGAAGACAGAGCACGGAGAGAAGCCAGCATGGCTTCTCTAAGAAGAAAGCTCGCAGGTTATTCTCTCTGTCCTTGTCCCACTCTGGCATCTCCCTAGTGAGGAAGTAAGTGTCTTGTTTGGTGAAAACAAGCTACAACTGCTCCAAGAGGCACTTTCCCCACTTCTGGGAAGAAATTCATCCTGCTGATCTGACTGCCAAACAGCTCTGTTTCCTTTCTGTTCATGCAGATTCGGGGAAAGGCCAGAACATTTCAGAATTAGCTGGGGTCTGTCGGGAGCAGGGTGGCTGGTGGGCCTGCCTCCTATATTGTAAATAAAGTTTTATTAGAACACAGCCACACCCATCTGTTTATGTATATCATCCAAGGCTCTTTCGTGGCTGGGTGCAGTGGCTCACATCTGTAATCCTAGCACTCTGGGAGGCCAAGGTAGGCGGATTGCTCGACGTCAGGAGTTCCAAACCAGCCTGAGCAAGAGCGAGAACCCATCTCTACTATAAATAGAAAGAAATTAATTGGCCAACTAATAGATATAGAAAAAATTAGCTGGGCATGGTGGTGCATGCCTGTAGTCCCAGCTACTCGGGAGGCTGAGGCAGAAGGATTGCTTGAGCCCAGGAGTTTGAGGTTGCTGTGAGCTAGGCTGACGCCATGGCACTCCAGCCCAGGCAACAGAGAGAGACTCTGTCTCAAAAAAAGGCTCTTTCCTGCTACCGTGCTATGACAGCAGAGTTGAGTAGTGAGACAGAAACTACAGACTACAGGGCCTGAAGTATTTATGATCCAGCTCTTTACAGAAAAGTACGCTGACCCTCAGTCTGGAGCCTTGAGCACAGGTGGCAAGGAATGTACACTTGCGGCCAGGCACAGTGGTTCACACCTATAAGCCCCGCACTTTGGAAGGCAGAGGCCAATAGGACTGCTTGAGGCCATGATTTCGACCAGCCTGAGCAACATAGTGAGACCCTGTCTCTACAAAAAAACTTAAAAAAAAAAATTAGCTTGGCATCGTGGCTCACACCTGTAGTCCCCTTTACTTGGGAGGCTGAGGCAGGAAGATTGCTTGAGCCCAGGAGTTTGAGGCTGCAGTCAGCTAAGATGATACCACTGCACTCCAGCCTGGGCAACACAGCAAGACTCTGTCTCTTAAAAAAACATATATATATATATAAATATATATATATTTTTTTTTTTAAAAAAGGAATGCACACTTATGACAGGCTTGCTCAAAGCTCAGTTCAGCAGCGTCCAGAAGGGGAGGTTCAAGCCATGAAGTGTCATATCTTTGAACAAATAGTTACTGAGCACCTACTATGTATATATCAGATACAGTGGCAGAGATAAGCTATGTGCAAATATATAGTATGGCACCAGGGAGTAATAAGTGCTATAAAGAAACAAAGCAGGGTATGGAGGTCTGTTATAAATGCAGGCCCAAAGACCTCCCAGAGGAAATGACTGTGTGGCATCTGGGGGAGGGAACAGCAAGGGCCACAGTGAGGAGGCTGCAGCCCCGGGGGCAGGGGTGGCAGCGTGAGATGAGGTCAAGAAGGCAGCCAAGGGCCAGATAACGTACAGCCAGACAGGCCCTGGTGAGGGCTGCGCTGCATTGCCCACTTGGTGGGAAGTTACTGGAAGGTTGAGGACGGGAAGCAACATAATCCAATGCGATGGTACAGGCTGCTACAGCCTGTGTGTGGAGTGTGGGCAGAAGGCCAAGGTGGAGGCAGAGAGAGACTGGCTCGAAGGCGATCCCGACTGCGGACCGCGGGATGGCGGGAGCAGGGGCTGGCCCGGGGGATGGCGTGAGGAGGGCCAGGTTCAGGCCCTGAAGGCAGTGCTCCTGGGATTCACTGATGGATCGGACATGGGGGACAGACAGACAGGGAGGAGCCAAGGGCGATTCCAAGGTTTTTGGTCTGAGCAGCTGAGGGGCAGCACCATTTCTGGATCGGGTGGAGTTCTGCTCTGGCCGGGAAAAGTTCAGAACACTGTCAGATACCTAATGGGTCTCAGTTCAGGAAGGGGTCGCGCCACCAGCCTTTAGGTGGCATTTAAAGCGTGGAGCGCAGGAGGAGGGGCGTCTGGAGGGCTGAGCTGCCTGGGCCTCAGCTCACACCAGGCGTCCTTGCCCACGCTGCACAACAGAGCACTTGGGGAATGTGAGAAAAATAACACTGCCCAGGGCCCTCCCAGACCACAGAATCAGAACCTCTGGGGCAGGGCCCAGGAATCAGCATTTCTTTTTAACGGCCCTGGGCCGAGATCACTGCCTGAGGTGAAGGAGGCACAGCCTGCCAGGCGAGCAGAAAACCTGGACAGTGTGTGCTCCAGACGCCGGGCACTGGACAGAAAAGGGTAGGGGAGACGGAGAGCAAGAAGAAAAAAGGAGGGAAAAGGAGAGAGGGGGGAGGGAAGGAAAGAAGGAAGGAGACAGCAAACACAGAAAACCCCTGTGACCAGTTTTGCCAAAAGGGAGGCAGGAAAATGGGTGGAGCTAAGGAGCAAAGTCAGGGAACTGGAAAGACAGGACGGGCTGCACTGCCCCAGGGAGGGTGGCCACAGGTGGACGCCCAGGCGCAGGTGGGTCAGTATGCTTGATGGTGGGAAGACCAAAAAAGTCTCAACAGAAGAAAATTTAACAATAAGCAAGATCAGCTGAGAATGAAGAGAGGGATTAGGACTTAAAGCAATTTTTTTTTAAATGTCATGATTTCCCTAAAGTCCGTGACCTCTGAGGCCTCCGTCTGAAAGCATGCTTCCAGGCCACACTCTGCACCAGCTGAGCTGCTCTTCTGTCCCTGCTCCTGATTTTCTGGGTGTGCCCAGGCCCGGGAAGAACTGGCTCTGCACATTCCAGACTCTCCCAAAGCCAGGAGCACGGTGCTCCCCGAGTGCTCTGGGAAGAAAGGCCATCTTAAGACTGCGCCAGGCCCCATGGCTTCGGGGAAATGTGGGTGGCACACTCCAGCAAGCCAAGAAACGCCTGACTCAGAGCATTTTAATTAGGGTGAGTCCCACTCCTGTTCTGAGCTGCCACAGCCTCTCTCTCTTCTCTACACACAGCCACAAAACAATTTCTAGTACTAGGGTTGGTACTAAGAAATCCTTCTAGATTGGTCCCTAATAGATAACTCAAAGGCACCTGTCAAAGATTATAAACAGCCAAATGACAATGAGGCGGTCCAGGTGACCTCGTTTCTTTCTCCCTGGTCAGCGGAGACCACAGAGGCCGCAACACTGCCCAGCCCAACGGATGGGAGATCTGGATTCCAGCTCCGCCACCCACCTACAGGCTGCACTGGAGACGCTCGGGGGAGGGGCGCCACACTTCCATATTTACCCAGCAGGATAAAAGTCCCTGCTCCAACCTCAGCAGAGGCTGGACGGACACAAGGCCGTAAACATGCCTGCCTTAGCTGCCGGACCACTGCCGGGCTGCGCCGCTGCGCCTGCTCCACGCCTGCTCCCCCACAGATCAGGAGAAGGCGGCCTGGCGCCGGCGGCTCTGCGGCTGCCCAGGGAGGAGGTCACCAGGTAACAGCAGCCTCCCTGCTGGCTCCATGGAGACAAAATATATTTAGACAGAATGTTTCAAACAGCCTCAGCAGTACAGGTCTAGGAGATGGAAATCCAAAAGTAGTAAAGACCCCAAGAATGGGTGGACGGTCACCTTACCTCAAATCACCTCTTTTAAGAGTTAAATCAGGCTGGGCTCACACCTGCAATCCTAGCACTCTGGGGGGCCAAGGTGGGAGGATTGCTGGAGCTCAGGAGTTTGAGATCAGCCTGGGTAAGAGTGAGACCCTGTCTCTACAAAACATAGAAAAATCAGCCAGGCATGGTGGCATGCGCCTGTAGTCCCAACTACTTGGGAGGCTGAGGTAAGAGGATCACTTGAGCCCAGGAGTTTGAGGATGCAGTGAGTTACGATGACGCCACGGCACTCTAGCTGGGGCAACAGAGCGAGACTCTGTCTCCAAAAACAAATAAAAATAACAAAAAAGAGTTAAATTAATGACGACCACAGCTAAATAAGAGCAACTCAACCTCACAGCCAGATTGGACTGCAGGGACGCTCTAGGTCCACTTAGACCTTGAGGCTGCCTCTCCCTTGATGGTGCTGCAGGTGTGCTGCAGGTGACAGACGAGCCTCATGGACAGAAAGCAGGCACTGCCTGTCTCTTCCCAGCATGGCCGCCGGCTGGGCAAACCACCCCTCTGGTCTTCACGGACATTCATCCTTCCCAAGGCAGATCCTCAGAGGAAAAGCAGAGCTCAAGCCATGCAATATCTTTATTACCTTTGGAGTTGGGATGTCCCCAAACCTTGATGCCTGGACTCCTGAGACAGAGGGACCCCAAGAGGGCTCATCCATATCAGTGGCAGCTGGAGAAGGATCACTGTGATCAGAACTACCTAATGTCCCTCTGGGGAGGCCAGCACGACAGCCTGCCCACCTTGATCGCCAGCAACTTGCTCCAGCTAGAGGCACAGACTGCCGGGGATTTAATAGGAAAACCAGAGCTCATCATCCCTCCCCTCAAAAATACAAGAGCAGGCACATAAACAAACAAACAAGGCAGGCAGGCTGGAGTCTCTTAAGTCCTAGCAAAGCTTCTTAGGAACAATAATGCCTGTTTGACTGATCCAAGGAATGGAACACCCCTGCCAACAGCATTTCTGTACGGAACCTCCACTGGGATCTAAGGCAGGGCTGAATGCTGGCCGGGACAGAAGAACTTCAGAATTCAAGAGCAGAGAAGCCCTTAGAAATCACGTGGTCAGGAAGCAGAGGTTTCTGGGGCTCCCATCCAGTACGGACGCCCTGTGCAGGAAGGCGTGTGATGGGAGTTAGAGATGGGGAGTGGGGAGCAGGGAGAGGTTGTCAGTGAATGAAACTGAACTGATGAACGTGATGAAAATCAGAAAAATAATCACTTAGCCAGAACCCTCATTTTAAAGGTGGGGTGACTAGAGTCCAGGGAGACAGAGGCACTTCTTGCACCCCGTGGCCTTGTCCAGTGTCCTACTCTACTGCAGTCTTGGCCTGGAGCTCCTTCTCCTTCGCCCGGCTGGGGACAAAGCGCAGTTGGCCGGGGCACCTGCTGTGACCAGCCGGGAAGCTCGTGCCAGTCTCACCCAGGAGGGCAGAGCAGCGGGGGCCTGGGCCATACCCAGGGCTTCCACGATGGGGCTCTGTAGGAGTCGGGGGACAGTGTCGGGAATGCCCTAGTGGCTTCCCTCCTAGACAACAGAGGAGTGTGAACAGAGGCTTCACTGCTGGGTGTCTGCTGCTCCACCAACCCCAGACAACCACAAGGCTGCTGACTTCCTCTCCTAATTTAAAAACCCCCCACCTGAGATCCCACTGCACCTGAGCCTGGAAAATGTTTCTCAATGTTAATCAATTACAGTGGATTATAGAGCAAGAAAGCCCAGAAATCCTGTGATTCAGAAACGATCAGCCTAGTTTCTTGGCATGAAAAATGTCCTTCAGCAATGTCTTTGCAGGGCAGCTAATGTCCTTGCCCAGGAAGGGACTGTGCCCAGGCTGGGTGGCATCCTTGGACTGACTGGCAGCTCCACATGTAGAGTTGTCATAAAAGGTGTGTCTACATGGTCCTGCATCATTCTTTAAGCAAGTTTGGTAAAATTAATGCTTCTTAACCATCCATTTACCACTAAAGACAGCAGCCCCTTTGTGGAGAGGCAGTGGGGTGTCTGTTCAACTGACAGTTCTGTTGAAAGACACACAGGGGGAAAGTTGAAAAAAGCAGGTACTTGAATTATGTGTGGATTTCATTTTTCTGTGCTTTCTTTGGGTGTGTAGGAACGACAGCTGAAGGCAACTAGCCTACTTGCGCACAGATCTCTTGGGTAATTTGACAGAATATACTTTCCAAAAGCAGTTAAATGTTTCCCCTTCCTGGAAGGGGAGTGTCTAAGCCTCAAGGCACTATGATTCCTCTGCCTCAGAACTCAGCACAGCAGGCCAGGGCGTGGTGGCTCACGCCTGTAATCCTAGCTCTTGGGAGGCCGAGGCGGGCGGATTGCTCAAGGTCAGGAGTTCAAAACCAGCCTGAGCAAGAGCGAGACCCCGTCTCTACTATAAATAGAAAGAAATTAATTGACCAACTAAAAATACATATACAAAAAATTAGCTGGGCATGGTGGCACATGCCTGTAGTCCCAGCTACTCAGGAGGCTGAGGCAGGAGGATCTCTTAAGCCCAGGAGATTGAGGTTGCTGTGAGCTAGGCTGACACCACGGCACTCACTCTAGCCTGGGCAAAAAAGTGAGACTCTGTCTCAAAAAAAAAGAACTCAGCACAGGGCTTGACTTCATATGGAGGGACCAAGGACTCCTTTCAAGGTGGGGAGAAAAATGATAAGTGACTCTGCCAAGTGGTCCCTAGGCGAACACCAGAGACCTAGAAGCCAGCCAGAAAGAACTGCACGGCCTAAAAGAACATGCAGTGCACACAACTCACAACTCTACCCCATCCTCCCACCACTGGGATGGAAGCAGGAGCTTGCAGAAACCTGCGCTGTGTTGCGTGCAGCACTGGCAGGAGGAGAAGGGAGTTTTTCAAAGCCTCATTTTAACCAGCTTTGCAAAGCACTGGAGCCTTAGTTGGTTCTTTGTTCAACTTTCGCTTCCCTTTCCTCTGCTGTGCCTACAACATGACCTCATGGGTACTCCCCTACCCTGACGACCCAAGGAAAATGTCTACCAAGTCACTGTCTAAATGACAATGTTAGGTTGGGGGTAACTGGGGGACCCTTGCCTCTATTCCAAGGCCCCTGCAGTACAATCCAAATACTTCACAGGGGCTGGGTATGGTGGCTGGCTCACATCTGTAATGTCAGGACTGTGGGAGGCCGAGGTGGGAGGATCACTTGAGGCTAGGAGTCCAAGACCAGCCTGGGCAATATAGAGAGATCTCTGTCTCTATAAAAAAATTTAAAAATTAGCCAGGCATGGTGGCATACACCTGTAGTCCAGCTACTTGGGAGGTTGAGGCAGTAGGATTGTTGAGCCCAGGAGTTTGAGGTTACAGTGAGCTATGATTGCATCACTCCACTCATGTCTGGACAACAGAGCAAGACTGTCTCTAGGGTGAAAAAAAAGAAGTGCTTTACAAGCTGAAAATATAAATACGGAGTTAGGAAGCCTGGTGGGAACTTCATGGATCACAAAACCATAATGGTTATTAAAGGACATTAGGGAGACGTGGGATATACCCCTGTGCTACTATAATTTGTTTGATGTCTGTCTCCTCTTCCAGAACGTCAGCCCTACGGAGGCAGAGGCTTGGTACGATCTGTTCACTGCTGATTCTCAGTGACTAGAAGAATGCTCAGCACACAACAGTCACTCAACAAGTATTTGTTAAATGAATGGATGGTTTTATGGAGGACCGGCCCACAGACTGCCGTGTTACCTGTTAGCATTTCGAGACTAACCCACACCGTGGAGACAGACCCACACCGTGGAGACAGACAGGCTCAGAGAAATGAAAGAGTAGGAGCCAGAGAGTGGTTCTAATCCCAGCTCTGCCCCTTGCCAGCTGTATAACTCTGGGCAAGTTATGTCTCTAAACTCCATTTTCCTCCTGTATTAAACAGGCCTCAGGAGCCATCCTGCAAGTTTGAACGTGCCAAGCGCAGGGCCTGGCACACGTAAGGGTTCCTGTGGTGTCGGTACTCCCCTTGCCCTCACCGTATTCCGACACTCACGCCTTGGCAGTCCGTGAACACCAAAAACAAACAATGTGGGGCAAAGTGTGACCGGTGAAGGTTGATTATTACTCCCTGGAATTAAGTTTGGAGACTTTTGTAGATTGCAAGTGTGCATCAGTTCCTTCCTTGTTCTCACATATTATTGGGTTTCTTAGAATCTGTTGGCCAACTGTTAAATACAGTTAATCAGGGAGGAGGGGAGACTACAGGAAACTAATAACCTTCTATGATTTCTATGTTTGTAAACACTTATAAGCAAGGGAGAAAATGATAAATCACAAATGCATAAAACGGGAGAATATCCGTGTAGCAAGGCCAGCTGCTTCACTGGAGAGAGGCCAAGAGATGCTCTCAGAACCTGGGATGGTTCAAATAACCAGCAGATCAATGACCTGAACTTTCAACTCCAGTCAAAAGGCCCCACCCAGAAGTCATCCTTGTTCTCCTGATTCAAATGGAAATTTCGGACATGTGCACCTTGAGTGAGTAGCAATCGGGAAGGCAGGGCTGCCAGGTTTAGACTCTCAAGGAGGAGAGCTGTGGGCCAGACTTGCTCACTCCATGGTGCATGGCAGGGTTCCAGATCCCAACCTGAGAAACCTGCTTCTTCCGCAGAGATGGCCACCTGGGAGAGCTTTTAACACTGTAAGTCAGAAAAGCCCCACTGCTTTCCTCGGACAGAAGGGCACTGCCAGTGTCGGCAGCAGCACACTCTCGCCAAGGTGGAGAATCTTGATGCCTGAGACGAGCACTGCAGGCTTGAGAGGTAAGAATGACCCACCCCGGAGCCCCATGCTCCCCACAAATGCCAACCTCCTCCCCACAGCATTCACACTCCGAACACCAGCTCTTTTCTTTCCACATTAAAACATGTCTTCTAGCCGGGCGGTGGCTCACGCCTATAATGCTAGCACTCTAGGAGGCCCAGGCGGGCGGATAGCTCGAGGTCAGGAGTTCGAAACCAGCCTGAGCAAGAACGAGACCCTGTCTCTACTATAAATAGAAAGAAATTAATTGGCCAACTAATATATATAGAAAAACTTAGCCAGGCATGGTGGCGCATGCCTGTAGTCCTAGCTACTTGGGAGGCTGAGGCAGCAGGATTGCTTGAGCCCAGGAGTTTGAGGCTGCTGTGAGCTAGGCTGACGCCACAGCACTCACTCTAGTCTGGGCAACAAAGAGACTCTGTCTCAAAAAAACAAAACAAAACATGTCTTCTTCTTCTTTTTTTTTTTTTTGAGGCAGGGTCTTGTTCTGTCACCCCAGGCTGGAGTACAATGGTGTCACCATAGCTCACTACAACATCAAACTCCTGGGCTCAAGCAGCTCTCCTGCTTCAGCCTCCCCTGAGTAGCTGGGACTACAGGCATGCGCCACCATGTCTGGCTAGTTTTTCTATTTTTAGTAGAGACGGGGTCTTGCTCATGCTCAGGCTGGTCTCAAACTCCTGAGCTCCAGCGATCCTCCCACCTTGGCCTCCCAGAGTGCTAGGATTACAGCACCCGGCCAAATTCCTTGACCTAAAACATGTCTTGACCACCCCACCTCTTATTCAACATTGGTTTCCAGACCTAACATTTTTTTCAGCTGGCAGAAGATTTTCAATTTTGCTGAGCATTTCTTCTCACACTCATCCAGCCTCCAGCCGGGTGAGTTTTGAGGGAGACCCACAGGAATCACCAGGGCTCCATCTGAGACTCCAGAGTGTTAACTGTGACTACAGAGTGACCACAGAGAGTGAGCTGTGGTCCACCCCATTTGAATAGTGTGTCTGTTTCTGTCTAAACCCAGGTGAGTTTCTGCCTGGCCTCAAATCATCAAATGGGGGCCTTTCAATCTGGACAGGCCTAAGCTAGAGCCATGGCCTGGAGAGAGAGGGCCCAGGGTGCTCTGTCATGGGACGGAGAGGACCACAGTGTCACAAGCCTTCACACAGAAACCTGATGTCAGAGGAACATTTCTCCAAAGGAGAACCATATCTTACAAGTGAATGGGCAGGGCTCAGAAAAAGCAGTTATCGCTTCTCCACTAGTATCTATCTACCCCTGGGCCTGGTTGGGGTTACTCATGGGTCAGGATCCTGCCATACATACATGTTCCTGGCTGGGGACCTTCGGGTCCTTTCCAGCTCTCACCACACTGCCCCTATTCTGAGAGAGAGGAAAGCAGCAGAGAAATAGCTACAGAGAACACTAGCAGGTGGGGAGAAGACACAGTGACCCCCAGCATTTTCAGTTTATAAAATATGTGTGCAGTTAGTATTTTATTTAGATGTCTGCCCTGGTGACTCAGGTCCTTAGGGATTTTGAGAACATTTAAAACTCTTAAGAGTTTTTCTGTAAAGCCAGAGAGAACAAAACTATTGATCCACACCAAATAATCAATATAATTCTCACATCTACCTACCTACCAGTTCCTCTCCAGGAATGAGCTGCCCCAGCTGATTTTTAACGTGCCAGCAGATCTAACCTATCTGGAGGGGTAGAAAAATGGGGAAAAGTCCACCACCCAAGGCGGCCTTTTTAGCTGCACAATAGGCCAGGCTGGACAACAGCTGCAGCTCGTGCACCAGCACCAGCAGATCCCGACTGGGACTGGGAGACTCCTGCTCGAGACAGGGTGTGCCCGGCCGGAAATAGAACCTCACTCAGAGCCTACCCTGACAGGGCGGTAAGTGTCTGCCAAACTGAAGTGGTAGGAGCCCTAGGCAGAGAAGGTTGTCACTACCCAGGAATAGCCACTGAGTGACAGTTACTTTATTAGAATTCATTTATCCCATTTAAGGGGAGGGAGAAGAGGGCACTATTCTCATTTTAACTACCTCTGAGCTATTTGTGTTTTTAAAACAGCTACTTATTGTCTTAGAATAATTTTTCATCATCTTATCCTAGTCAGTGTTCCCTGCTGGATGCAACGCCTTAGGGAAGTCTACCCTGACTGCCTCCTCCAAAGCAAACTTTCCTGCCAATTCTTTATAAATTACGAGGAAGCTCTGCCCAATAATGCCTTTGTGACACCACAGTCTAAAATGGCCGGGTGTGGTGGCTCACGCCTGTAATCCTAGCACTCTGGGAGGCCGAGGCAGGAGGATCGCTCGAGGTCAGGAGTTCAAAACCAGCCTGAGCAAGAGGGAGACCCCTGTCTCTACTAAAAATAGAAAGAAATTAATTGGCCAACTAAAAATATATAGAAAAAAATAGCTGGGCATAGTGCTGCATGCCTGTAGTCCCAGCTACTCAGCAGGCTGAGGCAGGATGATCGCTTGAGCCCAGGAGTTTGAGGTTGCTGTGAGCTAGGCTGACGCCATGGCACTACAGCCCGGGCAACAGAGTGAGACTCTGTCTCAAAAAAAAAGGAAAATTAAATGAAATCATCTCTGTATTTGTCTGTCTACTAATTTGTCACCCTTCTCCTACCAGAATGTCAGCTCCATGATGAGGGCAGAGACCTTATCTGCCTTGTTCCCTGTGACCTTCGTGAGGCCCAGAACAGGGAGGAACTGGGGAAGGTGCTCACTAAACATTTTTGAATAACTGAATACATGTACACGTGATGGGATTTACAAGTGTCCATATTTCCTCCACAAGCCTGATATAACATGTAAAAACACAGCTACACCAGAGATTTGGTTAACTATAGGACTGGTCACCCCAATTTCTCTAAGGGTGACCCGTAGCTTACCCTTGTGAGGACTTTTTTGTATGCACACATGTGTACATATATAAACTACCACCCGTGGGACGAGATCCAGCCTGCTACCTATTTTTGTAAATAAAGGTTTATTGGAAGGCTGGGTGTGGTGGCTCAGGCCTGTAATCCTAGCACCCTAGGAGGCCGAGGCAGGCGGATTGCTCGAGGTCAGGAGTTTGAAACCATCCTGAGCGAGACCCTGTCTCTACTAAAAATAGAAAGAAATTAATTGAGCAACTAAAAATATATATAGAAAAAATTAGCCGGGTATGGTGGCGCATGCCTGTAGTCCCAGCTACTCGGGAGGCTGAGGCAGGAGGATCTCTTGAGCCCAGGAGATTGAGGTTGCTGTGAGCTAGGCTGATGCCACAGCACTCACTCTAGCCTGGGCAACAAAGTGAGACTCTGTCTCAAAAAAAAAAGTTTATTGGAACCTATCCACACCCATACAAGTTTGGTTGCTATTAAGCAGAACTCAGTAGTTGCAGCAAAGATGCTATGGCCTGAAAATATTTACCATCTGGCCTTTTTTTTTCAGACAGAGTCTCACTTTGTTGCCCAGGCTAGAGTGAGTGCTGTGGCGTCAGCCTAGCTCACAGCAACCTCAATCTCCTGGGCTCAAGCAATCCTACTGCCTCAGCCTCCCGAGTAACTGGGACTACAGGCATGTGCCACCATGCCCGGCTAATTTTTTCTATATATTTTTAGTTGGCCAATTAATTTCTTTCTATTTATAGTAGAGACGGGGTCTCACTCTTGCTCAGGCTGGTTTCGAACTCCTCACCTCAAGCAATCCACCCGCCTTGGCCTCCCAGAGTGCTAGGATTACAGGCGTGAGCCACCACGCCCGGCCCCATCTGGCCTTTTAAGAAATAATCTGCCGACCCCTGAGCTTGAAGAAACAGAGCAGTATGTACAAAACTTTCACTGAAAACTGTGCAAGAGTAAACTGCAGAGTCCACACTGCAAGTAGTAACGGTGGCTATATTTTATTGAGGCCTTACTGTGTGCTAGGTATCGTGCTAAGTGCCGTAAGCGCATCACCACGTAACTGAATTCTCAAGATAATGCTGTGGGTAGATTCTGGCTGCTGACGCTAACAGAGGTCCAGTCTTCGCCAGGGTGTACGTGGTCAGTGACAAACCCAGAATATAAACGCATGCCCAGGTCTGTGTACCTGTGAAACCTGCATTTGTATCCACTGGGCCACAGAAAGCATTTGCCAGCCACATCCTGCAGAACCCTCCGCACTCTTGAGACTGGTCTGTCTCCCCACTGTCCTCCGGAGGCCACCTGGAGGGCCCCACTTCCTTGGGGATGCTTAGGAGGCTGTTCCTTCTATCTTGAATACCTGCTGCTTCTTTCTCTGAATTCTACCAATCCTTCAAGACTCCTTCTCTGAGAGTGTCTCTTTACCCTAGTTATTATTTTTTCAAAATTCTCTCCAGCTCAACCAACACACAAACTCTTAGAGGTTAGAGGCTGCTTCTTACAGCGCAGAGCCTTTGCTCATGCTGCGTGAATATGCAACGGACACTCGCTGCTCCTCGAAAACGAAACAAAACTCTCCTGAAAATCACCGCCTTCCCACCCCTGGAGAAGATGCTATTTAGAACCACGGGCCAATCCCAAATGCCAGCACTCTCCTTGAGGTGGACATTTCTCTTTATTCACAAATTGGCAACCACAGGCTTTATTAGCAGCACCTGGGTGTTTCTGTTACTAGCTCCCTTTTAAGCACATATGGAACTTGCTTTTTATTATTACCATTTTCATTTCATTTGTGTTAACTATTAAAGACCCCAGTTCTCTCTAGCCCCTAAGAATCTTGTCTCCCTATCAGAACACAGGTTCCCTTGGATTTAGGTGGGATAACAGCTATTTCACCTCTCTGGCGTTATCACGGATGTGCACTATCACAAAATCTAGGTGTGAAAGTAGCTGAACTCAACAATATTGCTTGGGGATAGCGGTTACCTTGAGAGTGTAGTTTCTGGGATGGGGAACAAGGTTGGGGGGACTTCTGTGATAATGGTCATGTTCTGTTTCTGGGTCTGGGTGCTGGATATGTGTGTTTGTAAAAACATATTAAGCTCACATCTGTAATCCTAGTACTCCGGGAGGCCGAGGCAGGCAGATTGCTTGAGGTCAGGAGTTCGAAACCAGCCTGAGCAAGAGCGAGACCCCATCTCTAGTATAAATAGAAATTAATTGGCCAACTAATATATATGGAAAAAATTAGCCAGGCATGGTGGTGCATGCCTGTAGTCCCAGCTACTCGGGAGGCTGAGGCAGTAGGGTTGCTTGAGCCCAGGAGTTTGAGGTTGCTGTGAGCTAGGCTGATGCCACGGCACTCACTCTAGCCTGGGCAACAAAGCGAGACTCTGTCTCAAACAAACAAACAAAAACCACATTAAGCTATACACTCAGGACCTGTGCACTTTTCCGTATACGTATTATATATATATTTTTTCTTTTCTTTTATAAGACAGAGTCTCACTCTGTCACCCTGGCTAGAGTGCAGTGGCTTCATCATAGCTCACTGTAACCTCTAACTCCTGGGCCCAAGCGATCCTCCTGCCTCAGCCTCCTGAGTAGCTGTAACTACAGGGCCGAGCATCATACTCGGCTAATTTTTCTATATTTAGTAGAGACAGGGTCTCGTTAAGCTCAGGCTAGTCTCAAACTCCTGAGCTCAAGCAATCCTCCCACCTCTCTTATCATGGATGTGCACTATCACAAAATCTAGGTGTGAAAGTAGCTGAACTCAACAATATTGCTTGGGGATAATGGTTACCTTGAGAGTGTAGTTTCTGGGACGGGGAACAAGGTTGGGGGGACTTCTGCAATAATGGTCATGTTCTGTTTCTGGGTCTGGGTCCTTAGCTTCCCATAGTGCTAGGATTACAGGTATGAGCCACCACACTCGGCCAGCATGTTATATTTTAATAAAAAGTTCTAAAATACTCTTTGCAAATATAATAATACACAATGGATCTTTCTTGCAGAAATACACATCTGATTTTCTTCATGCAACATCCTTATATAAGGACAGGTAAGACCATTTTACTGGTGGTGGGATGGAAGAAAAAAGGCAAAGGAATTCTCAAGGTGCTGTACAACAAATTTAAGAGAGACTGGCATTTAAGGACAAATCAAATCCAAGAACTGCTAGTCTTCAATGTCTAATGCAGTAGCAAAACTAACTGATTCCTATTAGAAGCAGATACTGATTTAGAAAACCCAACTCACTTCATGATGCAAGAATCATATTGCAGTTGTCTGAAACAAGCATACAAAGGAAGTGGCTAACAAGAACAAATGGTGTTGTATAACAACCTTTAAGTGGTGAGGCACTTGAGCCATCTTCGAACCTTGTAAAAGTGAGGAATTGGCTCTTTAACACAAACGAAGCTACCAGTTAAGACTGGGTCAAGAACCATGCTAGGGGTGTGTGCAGTGTCTCATGCCTATAATCCTAGCACTCTGGGAGGCCGAGGCTGGAGGACTGCTTGAGCTCAGGAGTTCAAGACCAGCCTGAGCAAGAGCGTGACCCCATCTTTTCTTAAAAAAAAAAAAAAATATATATATATATATATATAGATAGATAGATAGAAAAATTAGCCAGGCATCATGTCACATGCCTGTAGTCCCACCTACTCAGGAGGCTGAGGCAGGAGGATCGTCTGAGCCTAGTTGAGGTTGCAGTGAGGAGCTACGATGACACCACTGCACTCTACCTGGGGTGACAGAGTGAGACTCTGTCTCAAAAAATAAAAGAACCATTCTAGACATTCTACATACTTTCATTAAATCTTTACCACAACTCTAATTTTATCCCTGCTTACAGAGGAGGCAACTGAGGCATGGAGGGGTTAAGAAACCTGCCCAAGGCTCCAGGGTTATTAATCTGCAGGGTGGGGATTCAACACACACAGCCAGACCCTAGAAACCATGTTCTTAACCATGATGCTAGTCATGCCTTTGGTTGTGATACACCCAGGGATGGGTTTGCAGTTTCTAGCACGTGACTTACATATTCTGGGGTGCATTATAGCTCAATAAAATGTGCTTGTCCAAACACCTCGACAAACACACCCAACTCTTTCATAAATGACGCCCTGATTTACAGAGTGGATCTCCGCCTTCCAAAGATCCATTCTTACACAAGTGATGGGGTGCCCATGTTTACCATCCCGTATCAAGGACCTTCCCCATTTATTGGTTTGGAATCCAAAGACAAAACCTTCTACCTGAAGCCATAATCAGCCCAGATTAGATTAGAGAGGTCACTCTGTTCCTTTCTCTTCCATTACAAAAGATGTATTGCTTTTTAACAAAGTATTTGCTCATCTTGCACTCCTTGAGTAAGCAAAACTATACCCCATTGCA